AGCCAAAATACCTTTTTAAATTCTTTTTTTTTTTTTAATTTTTTTTTGCGCATTGCCTCTTATTTTTCCATTAAAGACTAGAGCGAGATTCCAGAGCACAAAGGGATTTCACAGGCTTCCTTTTGAAACGTGCTGCCCAGTGAGGGCCTGGCCCTTGAACTGATTTTCAGCACTCTACCATAGCGAGATTTGCAACCCATATTTATTGTTGTTTTTGTTGTTGTTTTCACTGTAGCAAAGAACCGGAAGCAACCTAAATGTCTAACAACAAGTGAGTGGATCATGAAAATTTGGTCTGTGTATCGAATGGAATACTAGTCAGCTCTAAAGGAAAATACAGTCACAAATTGTGCAGGAAAATGGATGGACTTAGAATGCATACTATTCAGTGAGGTCACACAATCTCAGTAAGAAAAAAATACACAATTTCCCTCATGGGGAACCTAGCCTATAGCATGTGTGTGTGTGTGTGTGTGTGTGTGTGTGTGTGTGTGTGTGTGTGTGTGTGTGTGTGTCTTTGTTTAAATATATATACGTGACTATATTTTTATTTGTGTAAACATAAATATATTCATATATGTTTAGACAAAGATATACATGGGTGCAGTATACCATAAAAAAGAGAGTAAGAAAGGTTAAACATTAGGGGATGTTGTAATGAACACAAGTTAGAGGATATAAAGCTAATTATTTTTCTAGTTCCGACTCTATCACTCCTTCATGGATTTTTCAGTTTTGGTGGTAGTAAAGTGTGGGACATATTTGTGAGTGTGAAATCCAGTGTGAAATTCCACAGCTGCTGCGTGTCTGTCCTTATTATATAGAAGTCCATTGAGATGTATATGTAGACTTGGGGTCTAGTTAATGTCTGTGTGTGATGCTTTTGAATTCCAAGGTTTTATTTATATGTGTGTGTGTGTGTGTGTGTGTGTGTGTGTGTGTGTGTGTGTGTGTGTATGTATAATAAAGTTAATTTAAATGAAAACATATTAAACTTTACAGCTGTTTTTACACAAAGATGGCCACAGCTGGATTCTGATGTGCCAGGCTCAGTGTCCCTTTACAGCTGGCCAGCTCTTGAGAATTAGTGACATGCCCACAGGCTTGTCTGAGGTGTTGGTGTTGAGCAGAACCTGAGAGTGTGAGGAGCGTGGCCTCTCCGCACACTCACCTGTGTGCACTGCAGAGCCACAGGTCCATACTCAGTGGCTTCGGGTGGGTTGGGATTGTAATAAATGCCATTGTCTCCGTGACCTTTTCAAGCAAAAACCCTAAGAAGGTTATGTTGTGAAATAAGTGTTCACATCAAGAAATGCTTTATTGGCAGGGAGATAGTTAAAGAATCTGACATTTCACTGGATCAGGATTTGGTGTCCACAAATGTCATAGTCCAGAAAATAGAGTTTTATCGTTTTTACTACAAACAAATGAAGTTTTCTGATTATCTTCACATATTTGATTGGCAGCTAATGACTTACACTGTTGTTGCTCTAAGACGAGAGGGAGTGTGTGTGTGTGTGTGTGTGTGTGTGTGTGTGTGTGTGTGTGTGTGTGTGTGTAAAGCCTTGTTTTACGTGAACAAGTTACGATTGCCGTAGAGTGGGTCACCTACTGAGTACTTGTTTGAGGGGAGCAATGTGCCACTTAAAAAGTTAAAAAGTGTATTTGTGCCTCATATGCAGCATTTAACCTCACATGAAGTATAATTGTAAGGTCTGCTCTGGGAGTTTGTCTGAGTGTGCACTCTGAGTAGCCCTTGGGCTTCGACAATTAAAACACTGTCAACACTTCTGCAGGGATCTCCAAATACACTGTTGTTGGCAGAAAGGGACCAGAAGTCATAGAGAACAGCAATGGGGTGGAAGCAGGCGCCCAGGACAGAGATGGGCTGGTCTCAAATGTTCCTGCTGGGGAAGGGGATGGACAGTGAAGGCCGTGTGCTTCGCCACAGTTGAGAGACCGTGCAGGGGTGATTGATAGGTGAACATCCAGTCAGCGAAGGTCTGAGATGTGTACTAAGGAAGGTCTACCTTGGCATTAGAGGTGGAGCCATAGACGAGGTAAGTATTTTCCCAAGATGCATGAGAGACACTGACCTTCACATGGAGGCCACAGCGATGCCTCTGAGGTCTGGAACTCTACATGCCAAGAGTTTAAAGTGTTCCTATGTTGGCTATATTTGAAGAGGGAAGCAAAAGGAAATAAGACCTTCACTGGAAGATTGGCCCTTTAACCCAGGCCCCAAGGGGTCCCACAAAGAAGGTTCCAAAGAATACCATCAGCATCGCACAGAATCTTCACACAGAGACATTTGCTGTCATGAGAAGTGGAGCCACACCATGCATCCGATGGTGGTAGTAGACACACTAGAGTGGGATTATCAGGTCCCTAGTGTAAAGTGCGTTAAACACACTTTAAAAAGATAAACCATCCGCATAATGCTGCTGTTAAAAAACAAAACAAAATCCTTAGAAGCATAAGCAAGAAATAAAGACTGTGAATGACCGTCAGATTAGAAAATTACTAATACTTTTAGTAAAGCACATGGCCATTATCATTATGAATACAGCTATTAAAGAGGACATTAAACACAGCAAAGGAGAGATTTAGTGAGAGAGAATATAAATGCAAAGAAATCCTAAAGTGCAGCCCACCAAGAAGTGGAAGGACTTGAGTTATTAGACATAGAGAACAAACTTCTCTACAAATGATAAACTACAGGTTGGGAACAGCCGTTCTGCAGAGGGCAGCTTAGGGCGGGTAACGGGGTGAAGAATGACTGGTCTAAGGAAATGCCGTGAGAATGATGTGACTATCTCAGTAAATACCAGAGTGTACGTTACAGCAAAACAGGAGTGCTTGTGTGAAGGTGTGTGGTGCAGGGGACTGATTGTGTGCAGACCTGCGATGCAGAGGAGTGCTTGTGTGAAGGTGTGTGGTGCAGGGGACTGATTGTGTGCAGACCTGCGATGCAGAGGAGCGCTTGCTGGGCACAGTGAAGCACAGCCTCTAAAGGAGGCAGAACTGCTGTGTTGTGAAGGTGCTGAGGGACAGCCGGGTCGGCATAGCAACGTCACAGAAGCCCCGCCCGGCCGTCCTGATTCAGAATGAGGTCACATTCCCTGCCGACCTTCCTGGGCTATGTTTCTCTGTTTCCAGTGGATTCCTTGTCTCTGAAATACTAACTCTTCACACTTAGGGCAATGGTGTGTTTTTATTTTAATGTTTCCTTAGGAAAAGCTCAACGGTGTGGTGTTTTTGTGTAGACCCCGCATTTCTAGGTCCATTCCTGGGTGTTCCAAGCCTGCCTCTTCTGTAAATGCAGACCCTCTCTCTGTTTTCAACAGGTCATTGCCAACATTTGGGGAGGCTTAAATTTTTATTTTTACTGTCGGTTTTATTGGTCTTAATTCAAATTACTTTTAAAAAATAATTTCACTGAATTTTTATTGTGGAGTAGTTACTAACAGTCACTTTAGAAATGATTTTCCGTGTTTCCTATGACTCTTAGTTGACGGTTGAGGAAATAACGCTAAACAGAATAAAGAGATCATTCAAGTTCCTGAAGTTAAACAGTGGGAGAGCTGGGATTCTGATCCAGATATGTCTGGCCGCAGGACTGGGTCTCCTGTGCTGGAATTACACTTTCCCTGAGATGTTTAATTCAACGACACGTGGAAAGATATTCTGTGGGTAAAAATAAGACACGGGTGTAAAGTGTAAATACTTACTGAAGACACTGGGGTCGAAGTGAAGTGTCCAGATTAAAATAGAATTTGCTGTGGAATTGAAGTCAGGAGACGTTTAGAGACTATCTATCGTCGTAGAGTTCTTGGATGTGTACATTTTCTAAGATGTTCACTGAGCCTGTGTGTCAGGTACATCGTGAAACCGGTCCCTTCCAGTGAGCTTCTGACCCTTACAGGTGGTGCCGAGCCAGGATGATAGCAGATGTGGTTAAGATGTTTAGTGGTGGCCACTCCACACCAGTTCTTAGGAAGGAAGGACTGGAAAGTGTCCCGGCTTCACTGAATACACCTTTTATTTGTATCTTCAGAGTGCCTGAAGCTGAGTATGAAGTAGCAAGTAAAACCCACAAGGAATCAGCTGTTAAATCAGCTCTATCTTGAGAGAATTGTCACCAAGCGTGTGCTTGTTAGAAGTGCCCAGCCTTTTGAGAGTGGGTCAGGCAGAGGACACAGCCTGTGGCATGCCTGAGTACCGCCGTGCCCGGGTACCGCCGTGCCCGGGTACCACTGTGCCCGAGTACCACTAGCGCTCAGGAGGTGAGGCAAGCGTTGGAATGTGCCGAAGTTGGCTTAGGTATGAAAAGCCTGATGTGTGGGGACTTTATTCAGTGTGATGGGAAAGGCGCCACTGTGGACCGGGCTAGGGTATGAAGACATCGTGCTGTGTGGAATAGAGTGAATCAAGAGTGGCCGGGGAAAACCAGGCAGAAAGCTAACACCATAGGCCAGAGCTCGGACTTGGCACTGCTGATGCTCCTCAGGGCCTGACCTGGGCTAGTAGCATGTTTAGCGGCATCTCTGATCTCCACCACTAGATGGCAGTAGCAGTCCTCACCTGCTAAGTCACAGCAACCAAAATTATCTGTAGACTTCAAATGCCGCTTGGAAGAGGTGTGTCTGTTGTCCTGGTTGAGGACCACTGCGGTAGAACAGGTGGAGGGTGATGAGGACACTGAGGTGGCAGGGAAGGCAGGCTTTGATTTGAGACTTGCTCGGAAGAGGATTTAGCAGGTGTGTGGAATGGTAGGACAGGAGACGAGGTCTTGCAGTCTCCCCTCAGCACCAGAGTTTTCAAGCGCTCCTTGCCGTCCACTCACAGCTAGCCCTTGCTCATTCCTGCGTGTTGGCACTTCCAGTACCATCTGTGTCTTGAGCTTTATAGAAAGGAAAGAGTCCCTCACTTCCCTACATAGAAACCGGCATCCTTTCTTACAATATCAGAGGTGACAGGAATGCCTTGTCTCTTCCCAGGAATCCTGAACTGGGTAAAACTGATAGACAACTTTGAAGGAGAATATGACTACGTCACCAACGAGGGGACAGTGTTCACATTCAAGACGAACCGCAATTCTCCTAATTATCGTCTGATCAACATCGACTTCACGGACCCTGACGAGTCCAAGTGGAAAGTGCTTGTTCCAGAGCATGAGAAAGATGTCTTAGGTAAGAACGGTGGCTGCTTGGAAAGTGTGCCTGTGAGAACATCGACAGGTTGGTCCACCTCACGGTCTGGTGACTAGTGCGTCAGTGCAGAACCTTTGGCTTGTGATTATTAGGAACGTCGTGCTTAAATAGTACACATTGTCTGAAAAAGAGTGACAACTCCTAACTGAAAACTTTTGTATCACCTTTGGCTGTTTGTTTCTACCTCTTGTAAATATGAGGGTGGATTTCTAGCCATCTTGCTAGAAAAGAGAACAGACTGCCCCTATATTTAATTGAAAGCTGCCATAGGCAATTACTCATTTGATCGAAAATGATATGCTGACTTATAAATAAATACATGAAAACTGAATTTATCTAGATGACTCACTAGTCTGGAGAGAGGTTTTTACACAGAAGAGTTCAGTCCTTCGATGTACCAATGAAGAGTCTGCTTGTGGGAAGTGAGCATCTACGTTAGGTGGACTGAGGAACTCTGAGGCCATTCAGAAGTGCCTCATATGTAGCGAAGAGCCACGCCCAGGCTGCAGAACAGCCCCTTCTCAGCCAGAACACGCCTGCAACGTGTTCTCCAGTGCCTTACACGTGTGTGCAGCCATGCAGACCCAGGTTCACATCTAGACCTGTGAGAAACTCCTCCCTGTCCACCAGGTTTGGCCGAAATTTCTGATAATGCTGGAGTGGACAGCGGAGAGCTGACCTCAGGATTTCTCACTGTGTCTTTTTCTACAGCCTCTGTGGCTCTTGAGGAAGCTGAGTTTGCTTGGGCTTCCCCCCAGCCTTGGGCGTCGGGATACCCCTCCACCCTCTGGTGATAATATCCCTACCTTCAACCCCCAAAATCAGTGTCAGACACACCCCAAGACAGCCCCACCTGCTCTTCCCTGCAGAATCCACACCTGCAGCTGGAGAGCCTCCGCTCAGCCCGGGTTTTCCATGAAGGTGGCAGCTGGCCGTGCCTCCCTGATCCTGCCACAGTGTAGGCATGCCAGGCGGTAGTCAGCGTAGTGCTTTGTCTCTCCCAAGCTTCAGTAAATAGAAGAGATTAACCCTGCTACTCAGCATGGGGAGAGACACTTATAGTGTAAGGAGTACCTTCCTGTCTTCCTCAAAAGCATCTACTCTGGCCTTCTTCTCTATTTGGATGCTGTGTCGGTCACAAGTTGTAGAGCAGGTGCTGGACCATTTCATTCCCTTGAGCATCCTCAGGCCAAAACCCTTTCAGTGTTACTTCGAGAGCCAGATGACTTCTGTCTGCACTGAGGCAGAACCAGCCACACGGGGTGGGTATAGCCAGGAGCACTGCCAGGGGACCATGCTCAGCCCTACTCTGTGGTTGACCGCATGTGTGGGTGAGTCTAAAGGATCCTGTGGACGCCTAAGGCTTTGTGTAGGTGCCCTGGTAATTTTTTAGGCACAACTTAGGTTGGAATGGTAATTCTTGTAGAAGGAGTCTTCGTGGATGCTGTCAATGTTTCCTAACCATCTGAATTGTCTACCATTGTGTTAAAACACATCCTTTCTCATTTATAAATTTAATGAAGTGAAGATAATGGCTGGAGATTGGAGGTGACAGATTTCCCGCTGTAGGCTCTTCCCATTGCAGGGAAGCCTGCAATATTCTCTGCGCTCATCACTTTCACAGAAGCAAAGCCGTTGGTACACCAGCAGCGCAGAATGCCCGATGGAGAAGACAGTCCAGAGCAGACTCAAAGGACAGCTACAAAGTCAGAGCTTTTATTTATGACACGCTACAAATCTCCTGCCCTTTGCCTACTCACTTGGTCTCTTGTATAACGTGGATGTTCTCGTGGTTAGCACAGCTCGATTATTCTCTGACGGCTGTAATTGACTCCATTTCCCCCCACGCTGCTTTCTTTAGAGCAGTAAGTCACGTGAGCACATGAGCTGTGCTGCTGAACGGAGCCCCTCCGAAGCAAGCTACTTTTGGATTTGTGAATTCTTAGTTAGCTTTGGCTTCGGAAAAGTTTGTGCAGTACTCAAAGCCACCCAAGATCGATGCCCTGACGGTCCTCCCTGTGGCCAGTGTCTTGATGTTCTCAGAAATAAGTACTCACATTCTCAGTTTCTTGGGTTACGAAACTAAGCAATGTCAAGAACAGCACCATGAAACCCAAGGAAAGCTTGACCTTTCAGTCTGTCTGGTCCGTGGCTTTCTGTCCTGTGACTTCATCCCTGGCTGTGGGTGGCATGTCCCTGCTTCCAGCTGGCTTCTGTGTCTGCCGTTCTGCCCCTTCCTTCCCTATGCTCTCTGTATAGCTCTGCTGCTGAGCGCTGAGCCGTGAGCTCCTGCCTGGGCCGTGGGAAGAGCTGACCTCTTTCCCTCACTCTCCATATGTCTGTGTCCACTTGACACTCTTGGAAAGAGAGAGCCTAAATTGAGGAACGGTTCCCGCTGGCATGTGGGCTTGTCAATGGGACATTTTCTTGATTGCTGGTTGATAGAGGAAGATCAAAAGCCCACTGTGGATGGTGCCAGCTCTAGACAGGTTCCTGCCCTTGCTTTCCTGCAGTCACAGACTGTAACCTGCAGGCCAAGGAAAGCCTTGCCTCCCTAAGGTGGTTTTGGTCATGGTGTTTTTCACAGAAACTGAAACCAGGCTAGGAGGCCCTGTCACGTGGAGTCTGTCTTCACTTGGCTCCCGGCTTTGTCCCCGAGGTTCTTCCTGATGTCTCCCGGTGATGTACCTCTTATTTCCCTCTAGCCGTCTGCAGACGTCCTTTATTGTGCATTTGCCTGTCAGCTGCATCATCCTGCACTGTCCTTACCTGGGCTTCCACTCAGCTGCCTCCTCACCAGTGGCTAACCAGGCCCCCACTTCCCTACAGCTCACCAGATGCCTCAAGACAGACCACCAGCACATCACCGTCCCCCGAAACTAAATGGATTGCCTGTCTTGACGGCGTTCCCGTCTGCCCCTCCGGATCCTCACTCCCTCAGGCTTGCCTGGAGTCCTCTCCTCTGCCTTCACTCTGGCCTTGTCCCTGGAAGCCCTCCCACCCCACCCCGCACTCCACACCCCTGCACTCCAGACAAAGCTCATTCCTTGCTGAAGAGCTCGTACTTGTCTTGGGTCCTCAGCCTGTAGCATTTACGTCCACATTTTCTGTTGTGTGGTCACAGGTGCGTCTGTGCCAGAGTGATCTCAGTGCCCTGCTTGTGTCTCCAGGACCTTGCAGGGTTTCTGATGATACACTTAGTACATGTCTGTACTAAGTACAGAATTATAGAACACTCTTATATACATGGAATATGACTTGACTTTGTGCTTTTCTTCTCTTTATCCCTTATAGCATGATATCAAATATAAGATAGGTATGTATGTAGGTATTTTCATTTCTTCCTGTTATTTTGACTGAGCCAATCACCTTATATGAGGGAAAGCCTTGTTCTGACTCAGAGTTTTAGAGGTTCCTGTCCGTGGCAAATTTGCTCTGTTGCTTCTGGTGAGCCATAGTGGGAATTGTAACTTAACCTCCACACCATCAGAAGTAAACCAGGAGGACGGGGGAGGGCTGGGGGCCTCACATCTTCCGGGACACAGTCCCATATAACTAACTTCCTTCCGCTTTGGAAGGTTCTACCTTCTCCCCCGGCCCCATTGGCTGAGGACCACGCCTTCACACATGGGCCTTCAGAATACCCTGCTGCTCTGGTTTGCCGCAGGGATACTTGCAGCCATGTGTCTAGTGTCCGGTCCGCAGGACTCATGCAAACTAAACACTCCACAGTTCTCAAGCCTTAGCTTTGTTTTGTTGTGTGTTGTATTGTCACAGTGAGTGCCAAAGGTGGACGTGGCAGCTGTCACCCTGCCGAAGACTGGGGGCGGGGTTAAAACAGATCCCAAAACGGCTTTGGAAGTGTCCTGATGGCACACACCGAGGGCTTCAGCACTGCTGTCCAGTTAAATGAGTGACATGTTCTCTGATTTTCAAAGTGGCATCTGGTTTTCTCTCCGTGGCATTTCAGAGTGGGTGGCTTGCGTCAGGTCCAACTTCCTGGTCTTGTGCTACCTCCACGATGTGAAGAACATTCTGCAGCTCCACGACCTGACCACAGGTGCTCTCCTCAAGACTTTCCCACTGGACGTGGGCAGCGTGGTGGGCTACAGCGGGCGCAAAAAGGACTCCGAGATCTTCTACCAGTTCACGTCCTTTCTGTCTCCAGGTGAGAGGTTCTTGACCGGGGTGAGGTGGAGTCTTCTGGGAAATGGCAGTTTGATGATGTTTGTACCTAACACAGGCTGGACTGTAGACAGAGCCCCTTAGAGCAAATCAGGTTTTCAGAACAAAGGAAGAGAAAAACTGTATTCCCACTAACTCCGGCTGGGGCGGAAACAGCTTTTATTCCTTGTTCTCGGGAAACTAACCCTTATTCCAGGCCTTGATCTGCGCAAAGACTCACAGTGTAGGTGACATCGACAAACCCCATGAACAGCCATACACAGCTTGCAGAATGCCTCCCAGAATAAGCTGTAGTTCTGAAAGTGCATGGAAAGAACGTGTGTTACCTTGGATCTGATGGGCAAGGAAGGTGCTTCAAAGATGAGATTTTACACTTCCTGGCATGAGTTCATTTTTCCCAAAGTAAAGTAATTCTGTCTTACGCTTTCTGTGAGGCCAGTCACATTCATCTTGCTTTGTGTGGACTTTTTCTCTCCTCCACCGGATAGAGTTGTAGCCACACGTATATTGTGTTTTGCCCCAGGAGTCTGCTCAGTTGGCAGTTTGTAGCTGACCAGGCAAACTCTGTCTTTAAAGCAGCCTGGCTGAAAAAGCTCCCACACTTGTCTTGTTCGTTTGCCAGGCTCCTCGGGAGCACTTCCTGTCCCTCTGATCTGTCACCATTGTGTGCTGGGGAGAACTGGCAGGTGATGAAGTGACCATCCTCCTTGGGATGTGACCAGATTGCAGTGATGCCTCATCCGGATGCAATTCTCTTTGAGCCTCCGAGTCCATAAGAAATCTTAGCGTCATGACAGTCTGGTGACAGGGCTATTAAAGCTGAGAGAGTGATGTCCATCAGTAAGTTGGGGTGCGTCAGGCTTTACTGCCCAGGGGATTGAGAGGAGCTAGGACAGGAGCCCAGGAGAGTAGAAGCAGGCCCAGAGCTGGAAGTCAGGAGCCCTGACCTTTACCCCTGTATCCCCCGAACCTGGAGCTCAACAGTAACCAGTGAGCTGTCACGGGACCCACTTCTTATTCTCAAGCTTTCACTGGTTCTGGACATTTTACTTTCAACTCTCATGTCTCCCATCGTTTAAATGAATGAAGGACAGAGAGGAACACAGGCTAGGGGTGACTCTTCTGCTCTTAATAAAATTCAGGGTCTTGGGGCCCATAACCTCCTCCAGTGACCCCACGTGACTATTTATTTCAGGAACAGGATCATCATTATCGGAGGGAAGGGGCTTGTTGTCCCAGTGGGAAATGATGTTTCTGTGCCAGGTGATGAAATGCTGCCTGTGGCGGTGGCCGTGAAGATTGGAGAGAAAAGTGTGTTCCTAGTTGCGTGCTACTGGCTGCTTCCAAGAAAGCTTTAATTTGTTACTGTAATGCTTCGTTTGTCTCCCTGTCTCCTCTTGCCCATTTCCCCCATCCTTCCCTTCGCTCTGAATGTAATTGATACCTAAAACCCGAGAATGGAGTTTCCAGACTCAGGCCTTCTAAAGCCAAGTGCAAAGCAGCCATCGAGTAATTAAAGCAAGAACTCTCTGAATATGCACATCCAGACACAGATGGTATTCGAAAGGTGGCCTGGGCCAGTCTGTAGATGAGCATTTCACTCCTGCAGTCAGTAGCAGAGGCCTGAGATGATAAATACAGCCCCAGCTTCCCATTGTGAGCATGTGTTACATCTAGCAAGGACATCAGCTGACGTCATATCCCATGGTGGTACATGGTAAGGACACATCTTGAGCCCAGACCATTTGTGACTTTTGCACCGCAGGTCCAGCCTGGGAAGAAACAGGCAGTCAGGACAGTCTGGGACAGGATACAGTGACTCCCTGTGACAGAGACTACTTAGTACTTGAACTGATTAATTTTGTACTTGTGGGAGCGTAGGGGTTGCCTGGAGTTACCTTCAGCCAGATTTGAACTGCAAAGGACAGATTTGAGTACACCAGGACAGCAACTTCTAGGCCTAACTCTGGGAGGCAGAGAAGAAAAGGCCTTTCACATGTTTTGGGAAGACAAAAAAACTTTTTAAGAGCTTTGGCTTTCATGTTTTGTTTTTACTCCCTTTTTATAGCATTAAATCCAGCCATGTAATATAGCAGATAAGATACCTACCTGAGTTACAGAACCCCGTTGCCTTCTCTTCATGTGGACAATGTTGGAGATCCCTCTGGCCCTTTTCCCCAGCTCTTCCCAGTGCTCTCTTCCCTAACTCCCTCTTCTCCCTTCTCAGCCCATGCCAGCTGTTGTCCTTGTCTCTGTCCATCCTCAGCCCACACCAGCTGCTCTCCTTGTCTCTG